ATAATATACACTATTTTTAAGGCTTGAAGTCTTTTTTTTTGTTCCCAACCATAATGGTAAGGGCCAAGATAATTGATTTAAAGGTTTTTCGATGCCAAAACTACAATTTTCAGTGAGTTTTTAGGTGAGGCTCTATTTATTTAGACAGGGTTACAGCCCTATCAAAATGTTTTCCGTTAAAAATAATCAAAATATAAAAAAAAAATCAAAAGGCATGATTTCAATATATTACAAAAACTTTATTCTTGAAAAAAATGGAATGTTATATATTACATCCTTTTTCAAATAACTTAAAAAATTCTGAAAGAATTTCCTTAAAAGTATTCCCCTTTGTTAATTTTGTTAATTTGCAATGAAAGTTATTTCCCTTTGAGTAGCAATAAGGAGTTAATATCAATTTATTTGTTGGTTACTTACATTGTGAATTTATTTGTTGATTACTTACATTGTGAATTGAAACTATTTCCTTCCATTGAAAGTTACTGCATGTTTTGTTGTCATACGTGTTTATGTCAGTATCCTTTTTAGTTCCATAAAAGAAAAATGGCACTTTACAGAGTCGTTTTTTCCGAAAAAAAAAATCACACACAAAGGCGGTCTCCTCTTCTTTTCTTTTCTTTTCTTTTTTCTTTCTTTCTCTTTATTTATTTATATATTTATTTATTTATGATGTGTGTATACTGAATGCGGAATGAAGGTGACTTTGAAACAAACCTCCAATATACATTCCCAAAATCACCTCAAAAATAGCCAAAACCGGTGTGGCTCACGTTTTGTTGTGACATCCAAATAACCCCAGCGTAATTAACCTCCGTCTTTTGAATTACATCATAACCAATGATGTCTCATGCCTGGGGCGGGGAATTCAGCGGGGAGAGATACCTATGGTAGAAATGAAACTTAACAAATATTATTTTAAAGATAATATTGTTTTGTCCGGATGTGGCTTAAAACCAATAGTTAAGTAAATTGTGGTGCTGATACATAAAAAGGTTTCATCCACTCTTTTGTCCACAAAGTTTGAGATACCTTACAGTAAACATTCATTACTTGAGCTAACTCTCACAATTTTTTTTTTAACGAGAAGTTATCTAGATTTTATTTCAATACTAATTAAACGAGATTACATCAAGGAAGAGCCACCCCGAGCAAGAGAATCTGCTACCCCATTTGCTTCCATATAGATATGTACAAAAGAAGAGTTGATCGTGAAAGACAAATCCATTACTTGTAAGAATACTTGCATCAACGCCCATGGAACCTTTTGCTCTCTACTGCACCACCTAATGGCATCCAAATAATCTCCTTCCATCACAATACAATCTCCCAGACTTTTAGATAGGAAGATCTTCATGCCAAAAAGAAAGGCACAAAACTCAGCAAAATTAACTATAGCATCTTCGAGAGGTCCGTAAGAGAACATAATCACCCCTTCTGAATTTCTCACTACCCCCCAAAGCTAGCTGGCTTTGGATTCGCTAGCGAATTGCAGTCAAAGTTTAATTTAAAAAACCCCACTAAAAGTGGCGTCCATCTGGATTTTGGGAGGGGTTTGATAAAGCCCAAGCCAGCTGACCTTGGATTCCCTAGTGAACTGCCGTCAAAGTTCAATTTAAAAACCCCCACTAAAGGTCACGTCCCTCTGCATTTTGGGCAGGATTTGGTAAAGCCCATCTTAAACAAGTTACGCAGGTTTATCCTCAAATCCAACTTGGCAATACCCACTCCCTCCTTGGTACCAGATAACCAAAACCATATAGAATGAATAATCTTATTAAAAACCATTTCAAACGGTTGACTTACCCCTACAAAAGCTCTCATGTTTATTTCTTTCCATACCTCCTATAAAATCATTTTTCTAATAATTTGCCAAATAACTTTCCCAGTTTGAAGTAACACTGGATATGCCAAATTGATAATAACTCCCAAGGCAAATTGGGGTAGAGCCAAAAAAACATGCATCTGTGAAAGAAACCAAGACCAAATACGATAGACAAAAGAGCAATGTATAAATAAATAGGCACCTGATTCACCATCATTCTTGCACATCAAACAGATGTTTGGTATTACTTTACCTCTCTTCATAAAATCAACAGTTAAAATCTTATTTTGCGCTGCAAGCCACACAAAGACCTGAACTTTGTGAGGGATTGATCATTTTTAAACTTTAGCAACTTGAGGTAGTGACCATCGCCACCTATTATGAAAGAGTAGTCTATACATGGATTTGACAGAGAACTGCCCATCAATCTCAATATCCCAAACTACTTCATCTACAGCTGAAGGTGAAATATAGACTTCATTCAAACACCTCTAAAAGAGAGTTAAATTGGGCAAAGAGATCATCAGATATCCTATTGTATGGGAGAATGATGTTCCAAATTATCTCCTGCTCACTTCTCTCAAAAATATATGATAAAAGGGCATTGGGATTATCCACCTTAACAAATAAATCAAGGAAATCATATTGTAGTGGATAATTCCCTACCCATATGTGGTTCCAAAAGGAAGTCTGCATTCCAATATTTCATCTCACATTTCGGTTCACCGGAGGTTTGCACAGAAAGATAGCTTTCCAAAAGATTGAAGTATTACCACTTACCACGTCATGATCCAATCGACATGCCAGATCTATCATTACCATACTATCAGATGTATGCACAGAAAGATAACTCCGTAATATCTTTGTGCATTGGCTCAACCGCCCTAATCTGTTGAGGCCCTAATCTGTTGAGGAATATATGGATGAGAAAATTGATTTTTTGTGTCTTGTTCTATTCTTGAAGACATGCTGCAAAAGTTTTGGGGATGTATTTACGACCACCATTACTTTGTAAAACCTAGATAGATTTATCAAGAAATTTTCCTCTTAAGCATGAAAATGGTTTAAACATAGCTTTTTGCTTCAAAACAATGTCCATGTAAAACGACTACAGTCATCGATAAAACCAGGAAAAGTAGTGCATGCCTCAGGGGACGCACTTCTACCATAGCATCCACTGAACATATCATATCCATCTTGGAGAGGGAAGTTAGAAAATAGTAACCCCAAAAAATTTTAAAATCAACAGTGTACAAATTATGTAAAAAATGTTTCATTTTTGTCTTTAAAATTCATTTTTTTCAGGGTCCTACTCATCATGGTTGAGATTTTCATTTTTTAAAATTTTGAATCTAAAATCCATGTCTAAAATAAATTTCAGATGGAGGACTCATTTAAGTAGTTGAGTCGGCAGACTCATAAAAACCTTGTCCATAAAAATCCATGTATAAAATAAATTTCAGATAGCTGACTCATTTAAAAAGTTGAGTCTCGCCGACTCATAAAAACATTGTCCATAAAACTAACATGAGGGCCTCCTAGTAAAGAAGACACATACGCAAGACTCTAAACATCAAAATGCCCCAATTGTGAAAGAAAATAACTCTTATTCATTATTCAAAATGGAATAATGCTTTCCTAATTGACATCCAATACACAAAGTGAGACAACTTATTCTTAACAAAATGAAGCAATTACTTCGTAAAAGCAGTTTTCGATATTAGGCACAAAACGTCAAATGTCCCGAGCGCTACAGCGCCAAATTAACTTGGGTACACGATTCAATTCAACATTCAAGGAATTAGCCATAAACAAGGCCTGAAAACAGATCATAATCAAATGCATAAATTGTCTTTCATTCTTAGTTAACTGATAAACAGATAATAAGTTCTTTGTGATTTGAGGGAACAAGATAAGCATTTGTAATATGCAAGTAGCCGAAATGAGTGGAAACCATCGCGGTACCAATATGAGAAATGGGACGAGTGTAGTGAAAGACGGATGCCATGGAATAATTCGTTTTTCAATTAGTGCAACAATGTAACACTAGCCTAAGCCTCACCACAAAAAAAAATAGAAAAGAAACAATCCAGATGCCGTGAAAGAAAAAAAATTTCATTCAAAGTTGAAAAATTGGGTAAACAAAAACATTACAAACTTGATACATGTAACTTAATTTTTCCATCAGACACCTTTATTTAAATAGAGGTTTTTACAACTATATTTACTGCAATAACTATCCACTTAAAAAAAAAACTACTAACCACCTATTAGTTCCACAATTATCTATTATACAAAAGTATAAACACAACCTCCTTACATCACTCAAAATAAAATAAAATAAAAATTAATATGATTTCTAGAAAATACACTTTAATAATTTTAACACTCCTTATTAAAGTAATTTTCTAGAAAGGATTTCATGCATAGCTCTCGAGTGCAATGCGATCATCTCCATCACTTTCTGAAATAAAAAATTCAGCTATTGACAAGCAATCAAGGAGATTATCAAATTCCACCAAAGATGACTATGTAGCCCACTCTTGAATACAAGGAACATAGGGACTATACTCCCATTTAACCTACGAATAGTGCGCCTCTACATTCATGCCTCTAAAATTAGTTCATCCAGATCAACAAGAGATTTCCAAAACAAAATTCTTGATCTTTAAAAAGAATTAAAAATAGAAAGATTGCCAATTTCTCAAGGAATTTTGATTGATATTTTCGATAAAATACAATGACTATAATACCTTTGAAACTTTCAGAGATATTTTGGTAATTTTATTTTATTGGGAATATTGTTTTTATTTTTTGGATGGGAGAGGAGTGGAGGTCCAAAATTTGGTGCCAAAATGCTTTGTAGAAACAAAATTCAAAATAAAATAATGTAGAGTCGTGACCATTCAGAATGAACGATTGGATAATGGAAAATACAAAAATTTTATAGGATAATGGAAAATACAAAAATTTTATACTCTAGAGGAAGTATAGAAAGTCCTGTATAATACCGGTTGACGTACGAACCTATATAAACAGCTTCATTAGCCATTCCTAGTCAACTTTCGGTTGCTGGCCCATCCTCCAGCTCAAATTCCATCAAAATACACTCCTCCACCGTCCTCGTGTAACATCGACGTTCAAAAGAGCTGATAATAGTGACCGATTAATGTGGCGCTGTTCAACCCGCTTCATAGTCCATAGTTACTACTCTGGAGTAGAGCGCAAGCGGAACGAACTGACCTCTGCGCAATTCATGAATTTGCAAGGTTTGTTGATTCCACTGAAATGAACTTGGGTTTCTCGGTCCTCTGTAATGATCTCTAAGCTAATTGAAATTATAGGGTTACGCGATATTCTGTAATTTCATGGTCGCATGTCCAGAAAGTGGTTTCATGATCTCATAAAATTGTTTAGGGTTTCATAAACTTCCCCAGGAATCTGGCCATTTCCTCTGGTTTCAGGTGCATAGTTCTGAAATGGAGGAAATTTTGGAGGGAAATCAGGATAAAGCGGTAATAGACGAGAAAGAAGAAGAAAAGCAAGAGCTTACCCCTTGGGATCAACACTTCTCTGTGATAAATCTGCGTCGTTTTGACTACAATGCTCCTTCTGCACTTTTGGAGAGTCCTCACTCCGGTTTCCTCATCACCTGCCCTATAAGTATAGTCTAGTTTTGGTTATCTCCATTGTTTCCATTGATGCCTTTGATGCAATTGCTTTCGCATTTAGTTGCATTGGATTTTCGCCAAATTTTGTCCATTTATGGTTTAAGAATAGTTAGAGTGCAGTTTGAAACACGATTCCTTATTTTTCAGTAAAATTTTTGCAACCGGAATAATTTCTTGTTTGCATTCAACATCTTAGTTGTAACTTTCTGATTCAATTTGAATCATCAAAGGTTTGATAACCGACTCTGTATCATAATACTATGGCTGAGTTTTGTTCAGATGACATTTTTAGGATTAAGAAAGTGTGGACAAAGTTTTATTTCCAGAAATTTGCAAGGACTTTCTCAATGCTTGGAATGCGGGTTCTGGAGCTTAGCCTGGCAGATAGTTTAGAACTTATTTTTTGTTTATTGCATGGAAAAAACATAAGCATGACTTGATGTTTTTAGCTCACACTTTAAAGGCAAATATGAAGATCAATGGAATTCTTGTTTCCTTCAAAAATGAACCAGGACATCTCTTGCACTTCTTATTTGTTGCTATTATGTGAAACTAATTGCTCTAGACTTTGCTGTAAAAATATCCAAAGCAATGTATGAGTTTGGCCCTAGTTGCAAGGACTTAAAATGTTCAGAGCTTGTTGAGACCTTTGTTGTCTTTCTGTCGTATGAGAATTTGTGAGCATGTTTGCTAACTGATACTTAACTGCCACTTGGTAAACATCTTTGTGAGAGATTTTGTAATAATGGAGTTGAGTTGTCTTTTGTCAGAAAGAGAGAAGAGTGCAACAAAAGAAGCCATTGCCATTCTTGAAAAGGTTTTTCTTGCATCTTCTTATTTTTTATTTTTTTCCATTAGTGTTCTGTTGCACAACTATTATTACATTGAGATATATTTTGAGATTTGTGGGTGTAGATATGGGTCATTGGCATTTAAATGTACTTTGTGGCTTTGCATTATGGTGAGTCAGATCAGATCCTTATAAAACAATAGTTCGATAGGTTTCAGTTCCTTTTGAATCTATCCATGTCAAAGTCGTTACCTTTCCAGTCATTTTCCACAAGGGTTCTCTTTCTGTTACTCTTATGAGTCTATTGCATTAATTCTTCTTCTTATTGTTTTCTTTTTTATTTGTTAATTGTCTTCTTCTATGTTATAGACTGCTTCTGTATTGACCTGTCCTTGCTAGTGATAGTTCTTGCAAGATTGGATCTGGGAGGAATCATTTGGGCATAAAATGGCAAAATCATGCACATAATCAGTTCCAAATTTCAATTTCCTACTCATTGGAACCTTTTTCTGAATAATTCTACTTATCTGAGATTCGACATACCATTTCTAATATTCTGTCTTTCTGACATTCAATAACATTAATTTCTCTGAAAATATAGTTCCTTGCTGTATCTGCACTCACCTTTTTTCTTGCTTCTATACTTTGCATATCTTCTTCTTCTAAATACCTTTTTTATTTTGTTGATATCGCAGCCATGGATGCTTGTCGGTTTAGTTCTTGTGATTAATTTTCACCTGTGTCCATTGTCCAGTAATATCTATCTCCAACTGGAGGCCTTCTCAATTGATCTAGTTCGTTAATAATTGATATATGTCAGCACAACCCTGTATATTTTACAGGCAGGAGATATACAAAAGGCAATTGGGAGATCAAGCCTAGCAAATAATCAAACAAAATATTCATCGCATCTAGTTTGAATTTTTTCTTTTCTGACTTTACTTTTTTGCTTGATAAAAATCTGTTGAGCAGAACGTTTTGAAGTTTCTCATCATCCCGAATTTGTGCGGAGTGTTTTGCAGTAAATCATTCATTTTAGTGTTTACCAAAACTTCATACTTTTGTGCAGTTTTCTGGATTGTTTGGTGAGGATGATGTTGAAAGAGTAGCACCCAATGTAGCAAATGTGGCCATGAATGGAATTAAGAAAAGGAAGCTATCTGATACTTCGGAACAATTAGCTACAGAAGATCTTGGGAGTGAAGACGGCTCAAAGTCTGAAGGTAACTTAGGGCAGATGGTTGGAGCTTGTGTTTTAAATAGAATGTCTTGTCTTTTTGTTTGCATTTTGATTTGTTCCTTTTGATGCTCATAAATTACCTATTACTTATTGATAAAATCATAAACGTGGTTATTCTCTAAAAACAAATTCATAAAAATGGTAAAACTTATTCGTAAAGCATGATATTGAGATTCTTGTCCTTTTGTGTAGCTACTTATAGACGTCCTTTACTTATTTCTTTCTGAAAATAGGTACACTTCCGAGTGGCAGCATTTCATCATCAGATAAGACTGAAACAATTGTGAAAAGAAGCTCCATTCTCTCTCTGGTGAAATTGAATAAGAGTGGGTTGCTTCTCTTTGCCTTCCCAAAAAATGGAAGTTCTCTACCTGACAGCATCTTACAAAAGATATTCAACTCGCTAGAATCTGGGGACCTGAGTTCACCACGGTAATTTGCGTTCATGTGAATGGAGGCACATGCATGCCCTCCCTCTCTCTTTCATATAACTGAATAACTTTTTCTCTTTTGTGATGTCTACTCTAAACCATCAATATGATAACTTGAGTTTGTTTGTGTGTGTGTGTACGTGTGTGTGCATATGCGTGAAATACAATTCTTTTTTTCTTTTCTTGATCAGTTTACTTATGGAATGCTTCTCCAATGCATTTCCACTCCAAAATCTTTGAGTTCCTCATTAGCACTCTTCCCAATCACTCTCCCTTGATGGACTTGCTGAAGCCAAATATGGTCACATACTGAAACCACATGTAGGGCTATGAACAGTCCCTAGTGCGTTTTGGATGAAGCATTTCTCTAGTTTACTTATTAGTAGCATGTGTTTTGTGCATTATTTTGAGATCTCTTATTCATGTTTTGACTCAGAAGGTCCCAACAAACTTTGGACTTTTTCCTTTTTGACATCATTCCTTGAAATCACACTTCCAGGCTTGAATCTAGATCACCCAACATACTGTTTTCATTGACCATGTCCTGTTTAAGGTAGCATCTAGTCCTGTAACACCTATTTATGCTATTTTTCTATATTTGTCGGAAGTTTATTTATTTTTATAAAAGGAAATTCATGACAATGATCAAGGCCCCTTTCCAAATATTGCACATTTTTCTCAACTTTGTCAGTTCATCTTTTTTTATGAAAGGAAATTCATGACAATAATCAAGGCCCCTTACCAATATTGCCCATTTTTCTCAACTTTGTCCTATATGCTTTTTTATATTTTGGAATCAAGTGACTCACATGCCCCAAAACAACCAGCACCATGATTCTAAGTATCTTTTTATGCCTCATTCAACTGTACACTGCATTCTTCCCATTGTTTTATATACTTTACCATTGGAATTATGAATTTGTCTCAGAAAAGTATAAATATATATACTATGATCAGATCACTTGTACAATTCTCACAATTAGTAAAAGAATGGGGTTCTCCATTTAATCTAATGCAAACTATTTGACTTAGATGGTAGGTTTTTGGTCACCTCATGCTCAGATATTAAGTATTCTCTTGCTAACCGATAGCCACATGGAAGCCACGTGTTGTAGTCGTTCATCAGGTCTTTAGCTGCAGGGATTTTCCTTAGTCTTCTTCTATTATCATCAGCCTGTTTAGAGTTTATTGTCCGCCTTACTCTAACTAGGCTGCTTAATCTAATGGTTGGTGCTATTGCATTTTCCATTGAAACATCTTGTTTCTAGTGTCATCCTTTCACCCCCTTATATCTAATAAAGAGTGGGAGCTGTAAATTTGGAGTCATGTCTTCTACTTGTGGCAAGATTATTTTCCTTGTATGCTTTTCTATGCGACCTTTGTTTCATCTTTACTGTTGTATTTCCATCAGTGTTATCAGATTTGCTTCACTTCGAGCGAAATGCCTAAGTCTTTGGATTTGACGACCCAACCAAAGCAAAACAAATAATATAATGAAACTTTCAAAATTTTGGTAGACTTCTTTAAAATATAACTTGTATGGGGAAACATACGGAATTATTGTGTCATGTAACCGGCGAAATGGATACCTTATTTAAGAGTGGAAAATTCAATAACTTGGTGTAATCGGCCCTATGGGTACCCAATTAAGAGAGGAAAATACTTTTGTACTATAGATACTCTGGAGAGCATGGGGCAAGCATGTGAAAGGGGGAAGGAAGACCATGCATATGGCCATAGGAGGGAACAATAATTGAAATAAAAATATTTCCAACGGCAAAAAAGGTCTAATTTTTTTTGAAATTCAACTTCATGAGAAGGAATTTTGCTTTAGTAATAATTTGCTTTAAAATTTATAATTACTTCTAATTTTATCCTTATGTTATTTAATTTTTTGAACGTCTTTAAGTATACCCAAAGACTTCCCCCGAATTAAATCTCATAACATTGAATTTGACCATTTCTGTCAATGTAATTTGTCTCATATCGTTCACTGCTGTACAGTTCTCTAATCACTTGTTCTCCCTTTTTGATTGTTAGTCACTGTTAACATTCAAAAGCAAAAAGTTGTTAGTCACTGTCTTGAGTTAGAAAAGGGTAGACCCTACTGATATTTGGATTGTTTGTTGTTGCATTTGCAGATCCTGTTTACTCTTTTGGATTTTCTTTATTCTTTATATGTATTCAAAATTTATTTCAGCGATAAGGGGCAGTTTGATGATTATATGTAATGTTCCCTATATACAAGGATTCCCAATCCTTCTTGTTTTTTCTATGAGCAAGGATGTTCGATGCCTACTTTGAATGTTCAACATATTTTCTTTGTTTCAGCTGGTGTCACCGAATTCTTCCTATTCAAGAGACATGTATGTTGAGTGAGAAAAACATGCATGCTGTTGTATCAAAGCTTGTTCAACGATTCTTAAGCAATTCACAAGATCAGCCTGAGAGACCTTTGAAGGTTCATCTCTGTCCTTTGTCTATTTGTTAGTTATCACTAGCGTTTCTTATGCAAATTTGCTTTATTTCTTAGATCAGATATATTGTTCTTATATATATATATATATATATATATATATATATGTATATATATATTGAAATGTGGACACTGTTATTGGTTCTTTTATAAATTTTCTCTGCTTTGCATCTTGTAGTCTGAAGGTGGGATACATAGCCCAATAAATGTACTTATTATTCTTATGCATATTGGCTTTCTTTGTTATAGGCCTGTTTGATGGGGCCAATAAGGCAGGTTTATCAGCTATGAAGGCAAAATGCCACTTCTAGAATATGGCACCGTTGTAGTTCTGTGCCTTTGTGTGCACAAAATTCTGCTGACCACTGCTTTTATAGCATCAAGTTTCAACAGTAAACAGCCTGTGTGTCAGCCTGCTTTTTAGGCACTTATACGCGCATGCAAACAGGGCCATTGTTTCCTTGGATGTACATTGCTTTTCATTTCTAGAAACTCCTGTGCAGTAGCAAGTTGTCATATCTCATGTAAATGAAGCAACACATCTTGTTCTGAAATACAAGTTTTATTGAACTTTGCTGTTGAGATCCTTACATTAGAACTCCTAAGGACTCTTTGTGGGGTTAGTGACCGATATGAAAGGTGTTTCTTGGACGGATCTGGGAGAGAAAGAGGCTTTTGGGGATGTGGTGAGTTTGATAAGAACGTTTTGTAGGGTTAGTGGTTGACATGAAAGGTGTTTCTCGGACAGGTCTGGGAGAGAAAGAGGCTTTTGGGGATGTGATGATGTTATCAAATTAAACTAGCATGCTGGATAGGGGTTGGGGACACTGTTATTGCTTTCGTAGGTTCCATTCTGTGCTAATAATTCTTTCTTGATAGGCCAGTTTGCAGTTGCCTTTAATCGAAGAGGAATTGAAGACAAGAAGCTGAAGGGTAAAAAAGAAGTCGAGAAAGATAAAAGTGAATTGCCTGTATTGGATCGAGATCAGTGCTTCCGTGTTGTGGCTGGGGCTGTTAAAGATGTTGCACCAGATTCCGTTGTGGATCTGAAATTTCCAAAGGTGGTAAATAATCATAACCTAGCTATTCATTTATATTTTTTGGTATGCTTTATGTACTATCAAGAGTTCGGAGTTCAAACTTCACTATTAGAATTGTGTCTTACATGTCATTTCTTTCGTAGATATCAAATAACAATATAGCTATTAGTGTGTGCTTTGTGAGATGATTTATGCAATGTGCATGTGGACACGAATAAATTGTCCTTGATTTAGGTTGTACCCATTGGATTTCCCCTCAAGATACAGTATGGCGCAATTAAGGAGACAGAGACATTCTTCTTAATGGGCATTGCCTGTAACCATTAGCTGCTAATAGCAACATAATTGGCTGCCCTTGGCTTTAAAATAGTGATCTAATTTTTCTCCACTTTTTCCTTATTTGTGTTATCTTTATTTTTGTACTGTTTAATACATAAAAAGGCCCAAGTGCTCGGTCTGTACTTAACTTATTGTTCTGTTATTTTTTTTGGTTGTTTTTTCTTTTACAGATGGTTGTGTTTGTTGAGGTACTTCCCATTCCAGGAATCCCCAGTGGATCGATAGTGGCTGCAGTTTCTGTACTCCCTCACACCCTTGTCAACACAAAGCCTCGTCTTATTGTGAAGCCACTGGTTTCAACCACCAAAACAGCTGAAGGAAAGGCCTAATGGCTAGCAGGTATTGGAAATGCCTTATTTACTACAAGAATTTCTCGTCACATTTCATGTGGTTATCTTTCTGCAATTTGTTAAAAACATTGATTTGGTTTCGCAGTTCATTGAATCTTTTGTCCAGCTTGGGCAACCACATTAATTTAACTAGTCCAACAACAATCGGTTTGAGGACTATAATAGGAGTTTTGAGGACTAATAGGTAAGTTCACAAGAGGCCGGAACAGGGATCTGAAGTGCTCGGGTCTCAATAGTTGCCAGCAAAATGACAAGTACTCAAATCTTAGGGTTTCACTCTCTCTCTCTCTCTCTCGTACGAATTTTTGATTTCCTCTTTCATGGTGTTTCAATATTCGCAGCCTGTGTTTATGATTGCAAGCTGAATTTTGGGTAAAATTGGCAGTGATACATATCAAACTTTTGGGAAATTTCTGATGGAACTAAAACGATACAGCCTTTTTTTGTGTGGTTCAATTTTTCAGGAAGTTCTTTGTGACAAATTCGAATCATAATGAAAGGCATTAGTAGTTTTACCTTGTTACTGGGGTAAGGGGGAAAAAAAAAGAAAGACGGGGGAGGGAGTTTACTATTGATAATAAAAAAGAACGGAAATTTACGGAAAAGTAGATTGTTATTTATTAAAGGGAAAAGTTTATATAGAGCCTAGGTTCTAAACAATCAAATCGGAGCTTACCTCAAAAATTTCACTAGAAGAGGTTGTTTAGATTCTCAAATATTCTTAAATTAATCATCTCGACATCAAGATGTATGGACGAGAAAAAAATAGATTTCAAGTTTTAGATAGAAATAGTGCATCTTGTTACGCATTTTTGGATCGTTAATTTTTAAGTTATTCAAGTTTTTATAGATCTACTCGATCTACACAATTTTTGAAGTTTTAAATTTTATAATTAAAGATGAAAATATGTTTAAGGCAATCACAAAGATTTTCAGCATTGAAACCATATTTTTTGACACTATTCAAATGTGCGGTTTATTTTGATTGCTTAGAGCCTCGGCTCTATACAAACCGCACCCTATAAAAGAACCTTTTATTTTATATTTTTGTTCTAATATTTTTGTAATTTTTTTTTTTGTTCTAATATTTTTGTAATTTTTTTTCTCAAATTACCTCTCATTTGTCTTTTTTATGTGAAATTAAAGTTACCGAAGTTAAGTTACAAACCAATTTTTATAAGAAAATTTGGGTTTAGAACTTGAATTTCTAAAACCAAATTTCACTAAAAGAAATTTATTAGATCTAGAGAATGGAGTTTCAAACCCAAGCACACTTCGAAATTTTTCCTAGTTGAATTTGAAGATTCGAATCCTCCATTTCACCCGAAAGAAAAAAGAAAGAAGTTTTAACAAGTGTGACCTCCAAGTTCGAAACCCACAATTTCAACTCTTTTTTCTTTCCCCATATTTTCTGTATATAATATCATGTGTTTTGTAGAAGGAAAAAGTTTATATAAGGTGTCAATTTTATATTGTACAAGTAAGGTGTTTGTTCTTACGTTAGAAAACTTTCAAATTGATCATTTCGACTTTGAGATTCGTAGACATGAAAAAAAAAGGAATTTCTAACCATAAAAATAGTTCATCTTTTAATACATTATCTAAACTGTCCATTTTCAAGATTTTCTGTTGTTCACAATTTCCGGAACTTTAAATTTCATAATTGAGGGCAACAATGGATTTCATATCTTCACAAGGCTTTGCAGCATCGAAATTGCGTTTTAAGCATGGTTTGAGGTGCACCATACTTCAATGTATAAGGTTGACACCTTATATAAACTTCTCCTTTTGTAGAAAAGTAGAACCACGCAAGACTTTTTTTCTCAATCTGTGGAGCAGTGTAAGAAAAAAACAACCTAGGAATGAAACGTCGCCATGGAAAGTATATTTAAAGTACAATTAAACTAAATACATCCAAATGAAATTGAAAAAGTAGTGAAAAAATGGATTTTTGAAAATTTGATTTGCCTCGACAGATTTTAGAAATAATCTAAGAAAAAGAAAATATGTAAAAACAACTATTTATGGGCCAAAATTCTTCCTAATCATTTTCAAAACAATAGAAAAGAAATACTTTTTTTTTTTTTTTTTTTTAATTCCTTGCTTGTCCGCTCTATAGCCAGAATTGGCCACGGCTAATGGCCAGACCCGGCCAACCCGGCCGGGTTCGGGTCAACCTGGCCGGTTTTGTGAACACTGCGTGGAGCATTATCTTCACGTCTAGACTCAATGGACTAGCAATAGGGTAAAGGTTAGGGAGGCGAATGACCTAGTTAAGAGGATCTAAAATTACAATAGAAGTATTAGAAAACTTTTATATCCACTAGATCAACTTGAATATTATGGTTGTAAAAAAAAATTAGGATTTCAAAATCTAAAATTAGTGTATATTATAATAAATTATTTAAATAGTCCATTTCACCCTAATAGTAAGCGTTTATAGATCTACAGTATTTGTATCATTTTTTGAGTTTTGAAATTTGTTGTCGGTGTTAAAAATTGATTTTAAAACCATTATAAAGATTTTCATTGCCGAAAATACTTTTTGGACGAGGATTTGAAGTGAGGGTTCATTTTGTTTGCATAAAAACCTTTTATTTATATATATATATATATATATATTTAAAAATATAAACTATATTAAAAAAAAATTGACAAAATTTTTAGCCAATTAAACTGGTTAATTAAACTGCTGACCAGGTGGTCCAGTCCCGTGTATATACCCTTTGAAGTAGGATTCGAGTCCACAAAGTCCCAAACCAAGAAAGCCCCCTAAAGGATGGGGTGGCAAGACGCATTGTCGCTCTCAAAAGTCCTAAGACCTTTTCTAAATACCTTCACCTACTCCAAAAATAATTGAAATAAGGGTAATCTTATGGCTAAAATATGATTTTACTGAGATGCACGGTTTGAAGTATATGAGTTGAATACTAAGCAAACCCAAATTTTATTCTAATCCTAACGACGGCAGGTGTGCCTCCACAGCATATAATGCGTCATGGGCGGCAAAACAAAGCATTGTGAAGTCAAAATTTATCAATAACATCATGATCAATATATAGACTTAAGGGATTGGCATTGGTTTGGACCAAATAACCCATGAAGCAAATATCAAAGACCCTAATATGTAACTTTTGATTGCCACCCTGGAGTTGAAATACGTAGTTTTTTTAATTCATATTCAAAAGGAAAAAGTTTATGTAAGGTTGCAACCTAAAATGTAGAATTAAATATGTACCCCAAAAATCCATCGGAATAGGTTGTTTTAATGTTGAAAAAAGCTCTAATTGATAATCTCGACACCGAGATGTAGGAATATGAAAGAAAAAAAAAATTGAGTTCCAAAAATAGTGCATCTTACAACGCATTATCTAGATCGTCCATTTTCAAGATTTTCATATGTTTATACTTTAGATATGAAAATAGATTTTGAGATAATCCTAATTATTTTTTACATTGAAATTGCATGTTGTGATAAAATTTTGAGGCCCGCCTTAATTGGATGGGTTAATGTTGCAACTTTATAGAAACCACACCCTATTCAAAATAGGTCAAATATAATATAAAATTGAAGGAATAGAATAAAATGAGACCATTTATCTTTGGTATAAAGTAGTCACAATTAATCTTGACTATTGCATACGAAATTAGATGGCTACATTTATTCATTGATCAAGCTCAAACTTCAAAAAAAATTTCTTGAACTTTGCAATACGCTCAAGCTATCAAAAGTAAATGATCTCATTGTATACAATCTCAAAATTCAATAAGACTCAAGATTTCCAATGTGTAGATTATCCTTGACACTGGCCCTCCATAGATTATCCTCGACACTGGCCCTCTATGGGAAAGTTTTGGCTGAAAGAATTGGACAGATAACAAAATGTGTAAGATCCCTTCGCCTGATAAATATGGCAAATAACGAGCCCCTCATGAGCACTATGTGCACGTTCCTTCGATTTCCAAGCCTCCTAAAAATTTAGAAGTTTATCTCGATTCGAAAAGAGATGCGAACAAATTTAACTATTTCATCGAAACTAATGAGCTACACGACTCTAATGTCATTGGGGCTTCCTTTACCTGGTCCAATAACTCATCTCTAGCAAAACGAATGTCTAGAATGGATCGAGTTCTAGCCACTCTTCCTCAATGGACCTCCGATTATATGTCTATTATGCTTGATACAAAAGCGAATAGTTTTGGACCGTTTCTTTTTAGATTTGAACTCATGTGGTTGGACGATAAATCCTTAAAAAATATAATTATTAATGGGCTGAAGAAAATAAGAATAACAGGGTGGTGGGGTTACATTATTGCTTAAGAGCTAAAAGCCTTGAAATTTAGACTTAAAGAAAGGGGGAAAAAAAGATTTGGACATTTTTCTCAAAGAACTATGCAAGTTCCGAATGACACATTGTCGTTTAATAATTGGAAACAGGAGAACAGAGAGTTAAATGGGGAACAAAAGACCACTGTAAAGTGAATGGAGAAGTCTATTTAATCAAAGATCGAAAGGGGCTAAGTAGGGAAATAATAATACCAGATATTTTCATGCCACTGCAAACTCTAAAAGGCGGTAGCTCTTCTAGTATGCACCTCCAATATACAGTTAATACCTTATTCTTTATGAGAGCTTATTTTCAACAGATGAAGCATATGTGGTTATTTTTTAATTGATGCCAACTCATATACAGGGTAAAAATTATTTTTGCAAAGACTAATTTAATGGGAATTTATTGTTCTGGTGAAGAAATTCATGATGAGGTGTGGACATGAAACTCTCCCAGTTAAATATCTTGGCCTCCCTTTGGGAGACTATAGATTAAACAGAGCAGGGTGGGATCTAATCATGAAAGTTTCCATACTAAATTGGATGGCTGGAAGAGCCGTGATCTTTCACCTTGGGACATGATCACCTTAAGAAGGTTACCTCGTCTAACCTCTGGGTGTACTAATCTCTATTTAAGGCACCATTTTCTATTATACTTTTGCTTGAAACTGTGATGAGGAATGTTTTATGGAGTAGTGGACTGGCGATGAAGAAAAATACTATGACAGATTTGGAAAGAGTGAAACTAGAATTTTTTCAAGATAGAGCTAGAGATGGCATTCGTATGAGATAGGCTATTACATCCAATGGGTGCAGAGGACTGTGGAGTTTAAGGATATCCCAAAGCACAAACACAAACCAATTTTTGGGATTTACTTCATCTCAAGAAATATGAGTTTAAAAAGGCAGCGGTTTGGAACCCCCATTGTCTCGATGGGTCAAATTGAACTTTGATGGCAGTGTAAGAAATAATATGATCATGGCGGGATATGGAGGATTGTTACGAGATGACTAAAGCCAGGTAATCTGGACTACACAAGGACAACTGCCACCTTGCTAAGCAAATAAGGTTGAGATGTTGGGCCTTAAATTTTGCTTGCTCAAGCTCGACCGATAAGATCGGTAAGATTGGTCATTGAGTGTGATTCCTCTAATGTGATTAAACGGTGTAAAGATTTTTGTACTAACCCGTTGATGCGGAGCAAACTCATGGCTGAATACAGTTTCATCGTAGGGAGAGAGATGTCTTTTTTTTTTTTACATGTCGATAGGGAGAGAAACTCGCTCCAACAAAAGCCTTTACTACCTTGTAATTTTTCGATTCTTTTTCTGTTTCTTCGTTTTTATTTTCATTTCACCTTGGACTCCTCCCATGGTATTGTACATCTTTTAATTTCCAAAGCAAAATTTTGTTCATGTTTGAAAAAAAAAAAAAAAGAGGAAAAAAGAAAAGAAATAAGGATATAAACTTATCACATTGTAATTTGTATTAAAAAATGGTCTGACTTACGGTTAGACTGTTAAAACTTCTTTAATTTCTATTCAAAATTTGTCAAATTAACATCACATCATAAGCTTTCAGACAGTGCGTTAGTAAGATACGGTAAGGATAGTACAAATGGCTAAACAATACAATAATGTCACTATGTGGCTATGGAGGAGCTAAAATCACCCTAAATTTCTTTCCGAAGTTTATGTTATCTAATTTGTTTAGAGTTCACACGGGAAGCTCTCTATTCTTTTTTTTTTTCTTTTTTTGAAACTTTAATGGTAAGAATGGAGCCTAATTTGTTTAGAGTTCACACGGGAAGCTCTCTATTCTTTTTTTTTTTTTTGAAACTTTAATGGTAAGAATGGAGCTTAAGACGATGCACTTGTCTCTCTAACCACCAATGCCCCAATCCCATTCCCATTCCCCGAGATTCTAAAAGATCTTGCAATGTCCCAACAATCCCTAGTTCAACCCTACATCTCTCAATGCCCTTGTTTAGATTCGTGTAGCCTAATTAATTTGAAAACCCGAGATTCACTCCTGCCCATAGGATTTCATGTCTTCTAGGGATGGCAATGAACCCCAACCCGATCCAGGTTCAGGTATGGGTTCAAAAATTGGACCTGGCACGTTGGGCCGTATCCATATGGACCCGACCCAAATAGTGTTAATATTTAGTAAATAATATTTAAATAAATAAAAGTATATATATTTAGTTATAATATTTAAAAAATACATACACACATTCAATATCACAATTAATTATTATTTTTTTCGATCGGGACCAAGTCTAGTAACTTCAAGTCCGGTCTGGTCCGATCCGGTCCCCAAAAAGTTTTTTTTGAGGCCGGACCCCACCCAACCCGTTGCCACCCCTAAGATCTCTACAATCAATTCAATTCTATATTCATCATCCAATCCTTGATTGTTCAAGCAAAATTGAGGTTTCTTTTCAACTTGGATTAGGCTGGCATAAGATCCACAAGAAGGCCCATGTACCTGATTCAGTAAATAATCTTTATTTTCTTTAATTATATTTTTGCTCTCATTTATGCTTTTGTTTTATTTGAATCTTCTTAAATATGTTTTAATTCAACTTTTATGAATAATACAAGAAACTTCTTATTTAGTTTTTATTAGTTGAGATCTAGAACATACAACTTGCAACTCTCACAGCATAAATTGCAAAATTGAGCCCAAACTGAGATTTACGAGCACCATATTCTCAAAATATTGCCTTCTCTGAAGGTTTAATATTTTCTAGACAAGTTTTCTTAGCTTAAATGTTGAATTCGATGAAGGAGACTTCCATAATTTGCATCAAAACTCATATCCATACTGAATTTAATAACAAAAAATTCTCACCTTGCCGATCTCACTCATGAACATCAATCTCTTCCAAAGTGGAAATATGGTCATTTCTTCATCACTATCCCATTTTCCATCGACCAAACTTACCTACATATGGTGGGAGATGAGTTGTCTGCTTTTTAATTCTCTCATTAAAACCGGAAAAAATAATATCTCCGAATCAGGACATGAATACAGAAGGTGGATGTTATATATAAGTACCCAATATCATACTCTTGCTTAGCCTACCATCTCCTTTCATGTATCTTATCCTTCCATGTTGGAAGACAAACTGGATGTAAGGTTTTACAAATGGTAGTGAAATGAATACAAATGAGTGCACAACACTAACTTGCATAGTCCTGTGAGACTCGCTCAACCATAAGACGCAACAACAAATAGTTGGGGCGTGTTGTTTCCACCCTCAAATCCATCAGGACAATTTGATAGACTTTGAGTGGAGAAATGAGACTCCCCAACCGTCCTTGCTGACATCTGATGGCTGGACATGGAATGATGGGTTTGTGCGAATAGTCAATGCTCTCATTGTACACAATCCCCGTGTCAAAATAGCATAAAGAATTGTTGCAACCATGGGAAATAGGACTCCTGTTTCAAAGCAACCCAAGGAAAATGGAGAAACAGTTTCCAAACTAATCTAATTTTCCACTTGATTTAACAGGTGTAAGCCAGGATTCATGAGCCGTGAACATCTGGACCATGAGCTGAGTTTCTGTTCCCACTATAAATAAAACCATATATTTGGCTAAGCATATAAACAAAAGCATATATATATATATACTAATAACAAAATATTAAACTCCAACTACTAAAAAATTTGCCAATGTCCACATGAACATGCACCGAGTATTCTTCTACTAGGCCAAAATTTAAAGCATTAAGCATTTATTTCATCTACAAGATAAGGAATTCCATAATGGCCATAAAGGGGAGATGTAGGTCTACGAAAGATAAATAGATTATATATTTGGTCTATTCCTGTTTCCTGCATGTAGCGTACATAGATATGCTAAGGTCTAAGTTTATTTCATTTTTTTCCAAAGAAGAACGACCTGTGCCTCCTCTGAAACTTAACCTGGAATGTGATGAGGCTGCTTCACTGTTCTCACTGTTGGATGAGGCATTACTCTTCGTAAAATATCCCTTTGTGGATCTGGGGCAAATCGATAAAGATAGTGTGCAATCGCCAACTTCTTCCTCTTCCTTCCTGTTCCACTCCTTGCAAAACTGGGAAGAAAATGGATCGTATCTGTTATCGTTCTTTGGGTCGAATTTGCGTTTTCTTGTCGGTCCATGCTCATGGTTCAGCTCAGTGTCCTGTCATCAATTAAATTATGCTGATGGATTAGTCTCAAAACATGCACCAAAAGGAGAAGCAAAAATCAAAGCATATGCCATCTAATTTTCCATCTTTTTTTGAAAGTGACTTGTGATCTTCATCATGAATTCATGATAAACCAAACATTTGAGAGAGTGAGTGCCTTCTCCTTGAGAACTTTGAAATCGAAAATCTTGGATAAACTGATTGAATTGTGGGAAATAGAAAAGGTATCTAATCTCAATGAGAAGCTTTATATAATTAAATAGCGACAGACACTGAGTACTTCGAGGCTTTTTAGATGCTAACTTCACCGTGAAATGTGAACAGCACCATTAGAAGCCTGGCAAAACCAAAATTCTAAAACCACAGTGTGCTTTTTCACCATATCAACCATTTTGGCATTCAGAAGGTTGGCAACCTTTTCACCATTCAAAAGGTCGTTAGGGTCACATGTCCCTATTTGCAAATTTGTATACTCCGGTTGTCACGCTCCCTCCTAAATTGTAAGGTGAAAATAATATCCTGTTGGCTTTGGGTACAAAGAGAATTTTTCAAAATAAGAACCTTTCTTGAGACAGATTCACAGATATCCCATCACCCGTAATGCATGTAATATATTTTCCTTGAATCACAAGTTTCTTTGTTCCTGGGTTAGTCAGTTAAGTTCTCAAGGAATCAAACCTGAGACATTCTTGAGCCCAACACCCTAACCACTAAACCGAGAGCTCAAACCGTAATAAGGTCCAATGAGATTTAAACTTGGATTCTGGATCAGAGTTCCCTCTAGATCATGGAAATTGGTCACGTTTCTCAATTGATTTCAGTTCAAAGTTTCAAACTAGTGTTCGAAACCCCAAAATTCTCAGATGACACAGTCCTTGCAAAAACCAAGTCGACTTGCAGAGTAAAACAATGACTCAGAAGAGTTCCGTGGAGTAAAGTATTTCAAAGGTTCAAAAAAAAGAAGAAAATAGATGCATCTATGGCGCTATCTGAGCCAGGTGGTCACCAAGTCTAAATTTATATATAAAACTCGATACACCTAGCTTCTTAGTGACAAAGCTCAGCAACTTGTCAAGTTGAGTAGATATGGCAAGTTTTCCGAGTTGAAAACAAGATTTTACTCACTGTTTAAATCAACAAACACCTCCATCAGTCAAATTACACACATAGGTGATATTCACATTAGTTGTTCTGGCTCAATATCACTTGCCTTGAATTTTCTTTGCCATAACAGCCAAGTCAATCGCTACATTGCATGCGCTCGACTGCTTTTCCAAACAAAGCTTGTACTCTTTTCGAATTAGGGAAAAATTCCTTTATCCAAATACTCATCCTTTGTTTATACAGTGGCAAGTATGTGCTTTCCAACTTGCTCTTCATTTCCATAATGTCATGCTCATCATTGCCATTTTCTTCCTTCATGCGAGCATGTGCTTTCCAACTTGCTCTTCATTTCCATAATCAATGTCATGCTCATTATTGCCATTTCCTTCCTTCATCAATTTGAAGCTATCTCTACACCCTTTCTCTTCTAAAGTTCTCCCCAGCTAATGTAGAGGTAATGGGACTGGTAGTTTTTGACAATGTAGGAAACCATGGACTCTGACAGAACTCGCAAAGGTCTCAGGTCATAGTGATAGACTTGGCCTCAACTAACCAAAAAGTCAATAAAACAATAGGAACCGGCCAAACTCTCCAATAAATTGGAAAGAATGATGAAGATATCGCGCATAGAATTAGATTTGGGTGGGCAAAGTGGAGATGTGCAACCAGAGTTTTATGCGATTGCTGCATACCAATAAAGTTGAAAGGTGAGGTCTATACGATAGCTGTGTGACCAGCTTTGTTTTATGGGGCAGAATGTTGGCTGGTCAATAAACAACATACTATTGGATGAGCATACCTTAGATGAGGATGTTGAGATGAATAAACGGCGAGACAAGAAAGAATAGAATTTGAAATGAATATATTAGCGTGAACTTAGGTATGACTCACTAAGTGATAAAATGAGAGAAAATAGACTTAAGTGGTTTGCCCATGTTAGGAGGTGCGAGGTGGTTCATGTGGAAGGCTAAAAAAAAACTAAGCCCACAAGGACATGGTTAGAAGTAGTGAGAAAAGTCATGGGGACTTATGGCCTCACTATGGGTACGGTCCTTCATAGAGCAGAACCGCGAACTATGATTGCTGCAGCTAGTTGAGAAAAAGAACCGTAAACCAACTTAACCGGAAATAATTGGGATAAAGCTTGAATGACGATATGAAGAGAAAAAGGCCAAACTCGACCAGTTTATTTGCATATGGTCCTAGGCTCTGCATGTTGCTGAGCCCATGCACCAGGTGCAACTAGACCCGTCCGAGTTTTTGTTCTTTTTATTTTTCTCCTCTCCTTTTTAGCAGCTAAAGCTGAATTTAATTAGTCAAAAGGAGAAATAGAAACTTAAATCACCTGAATGGGGCAATGTGAAAAAGGATACAAAGCCAAAAAGACAAACCTAACCATCCATATCTGACAAAATCCTTTCCCACTATAGCAAGAAGGGCAAGAATTAGGTTTTTGACTCGCTGAGTCCTTTTGAGACTTAAGACGGACACCGATTTTGGACATTTATAAGACTCAGCCGAGTCATATACATCGAAGTTTGGCCAAGTGTAAGATTGAATGCGGTGGTTTATGAAATTTAAGAAACCAAGGTATCGATTGGCCACGTACAAATTTTTGTTTCATTGAAAGCCGAGTGTAAATGCTCCACAACAACATAGAAGAGAGAGAGAGAGAGAGAGATGCCCACACACATGTATTCGTGTGACATTTCAGAGAGAGAGAGATGGTCACACACGTGTATGGGTGTCTTTTACAATTTAGAGAGAGAAAGAGATGCCACACCTATCTTTTCACATCTTAGAGAGAGAAACCACGCACATGTAGGCGTGGAGCATTGGAAGTTATCCACGTATGGTGTAGGAAATTCATTTTTACCAATGTAAAAAGAACAAGTAAGAGAGATATTGACATTACAGACGCTTTAACCAATCGAAGGTGTGCAACGAATAGTGTGCAGACAAACTTTAGACAGAAGTGGCAAACGCAACAACGCACACGCCATAACATAATAGCTAGAGGGAGAGGATCAGGAATGAAGAGAGAGACAATGGACACAAAATGATTCTGCTCGGAGGAAAGAGAAAGAGTTTCAAATGGCTCTAGAGAGAGAGAGACCCATCAGGCAGGTGTGGAGAGATTCCAAATGCCAAAAACCTGTAGAGAGAGAGAGAGAGACCACGTAGGCAGGCTTTTCCAAACATGCCATTCCTTTTCTAGAGAGGGAAACCCATCACTACCAATGAGATTTAAAATGGCATCTTAGAGAGAGAGTGAGAGAGAGTACCTGGAAATGAGACGCAGCCTGTGCATTGTACTTGAGAATATCACGATGATGGGGAGTAAGCAGTGAGTCAAGGCCATCTCTCTGCATCTTTGTGTACAATAAACCTTTTATTACTGCCTCATGCTGCTGTTTCATGGTGGTCTCATCCGAGTAATTATCAGCAGAGTAGAGTGAAGGAGAAGAAGAAGAAGCCATCGCCAACGAATTATCAATACCGACCATTCCCTTTTGACCGCCACATGCTCCGCTGCTACCGCACATGGAATCACGCATTTGAACGTAGTAATTATCAGCAGGTCTGAAATGTAACAGGCACTACTACAAAAAGTCAGATTTTTAGAGAGAGAAAAAGGAGAGAGAGCACCCCAACCTCGGGAAAAACGGAATAGACCCCAAAATCCCAAACATGAAGGGAAAAAAAAAAAAAAGGAAGACTAGAGAGAGAGAGAGAGGGGGGTAAATCTGTAGAGAGAGAAAGTGCTCCTAAATCTCCCAGAAATTAGAGAAGGTACAACAGCGCTTTACGAAGAAAAAGTTGAATGGTGGGATTTCAAACATACTAAAATAGAACTAGGGACAAATCCTGGTCTTCTTTCATTTTGAAAATAACCAGTGCAATTGTAACTTTTGTTATTGGGAGACGTGCGGAGTTGTTGAAAGAAATGGATGAATTTTGGGGTTTTTTCTTTGTTCGTTCCTGGAAAAGAAGAGAGAGAGAGCTCACCCTTTGGGCTGGAGAGGGTGGTAAACATTAGAGAGAGAATCGAAATCTGTTGGGACCTCTTTTACTGATGAGATGATACTGCTCTCCTCCTCTTCCATATATTTGCTTGTCTGGCTAGCATGGCAAGCTGGGGATATAAAAAAAAAAAATTATTAAACAAGAGAGGGAGACCGAAACACATAAGAAACTTTTATGGCAGATATAAAATAAAGTTATAAAGTTTATAAAGTAAATAAACCATTAAACCATGAGAGGAGAAGGATTGATTCGAGGCTTTTGAGGGAGATGTGATGCAAACTTGCACAATATTAAACTAAGAGAGAGAGAGATGCACATTATTAAACGAAGAGAGAGAGAGAGAGAGGAGAGAAGGCCTGACCGTGTCTGCTTGAGTCACTCTTCATGCCTCTGTACATCTGATAAGAAACTCAAAAAAAAAATGGAAACATGAATCGATGGATGATCAACCAGGTAATTAGCCGAGAAAAAATTGAAAAGCAAAGAAAAAGGAAAAACCAAGTGGTTTATTCATTGAAGCTTGGGGTTTTGAACCTGTAAATGGCTTTTGACATGGGATATTGTTAAGCCCCTCACATCCATCAGCTGAAGCACAAGCTTCGGTGTGGCCTCTGCAAAATAACCAAAGAAAAATCTTTGCTTAATTAAGAGAGAGAGAGAGAGAGAGAAACATTTGATCGAAACAAGAGACTGAAAACTTTGATGAGAGAGAGAGACTTACTGTCTTGGCCACCAAGCTTTTGTATGGCATGAACAAAGGAATGGTGGAGCTCAGGCGTCCATCTCAGACGAGGTATTTTCGATCGTATGTACTGCCTCACCGCTCCATTTCTTCCACAAGTACCCATTCTCTCTTTCTCTCTCTAAAATGAATCAACACAAATCCCTACCAAACCAAGCTCCCTCTCTTTCTCTTTCTCTCTCTCTCTCAAGCAATAATACTACACTCGCTTCTCCTCTCCCCTACAGCTCTCTCTCTCTCTCTCTAACACTACACACAACTACCTACCTAACCAACACTCCTCCTCTCTCTCTCTCTCTCTCTCTCTAGCAATAACACTACACTCGCTTCTCCTCTCCCTACAGCTCTCTCTCTCTCTCTCCTCTCTTGCAGGGTTTCTCTCTCTAAAAATTACTTGGAGTTTCTGAGTCACGGAGGGTATCCATATCCGTTGAAATTGTCGTGGGTTCAGATGGCATCCGCTGTAAAACACGCAGAAAGGGTTTTGCCAGAGTTAGGGGTAGAGAGAGAAAGGGCGAAAAGGCGTGAAGGTACTTAATTATAGATGGAGGATAGAGAGAGAAAAGGTTATCGTTTTAGAGAGAGAAAGAATTCGAAGTACCACCACCGCCTGGTTCAGAAATTCCCATCACGAGCTGCCGATCTCCTCTCCCCCATCATTGCCTTGCCTTTGACCTTTTACCACAAAACCCCAACCCCCTTCCCTTACCTTTTCATTTTTTTATTATCTGCTTAAATCTACGACAAATACCATACAAGAATCTGAAATTCTTTCTTGAAAAGGTCAAAAACACTGAAAATGTAAAATATAAACTAGAGAATATTGAGACTTGGAGCTTGGGTGTCACAGCACGTAACTCTCTCTCTCTCTCTAAGCCTTCTGTATAAAATTGTATTTATAACATCATCACACGTTAACTTCTCTCTATATTATGTTTTTTACATAAGTGTGGAACTCGAAAAATGTAGAATTACGTATGCACCTAAAAATCCATCAAAAAATATTGTTTTAATGTTGAATTACCCTCTAATCAATCCTTGTCATCTAAGATGTAAAAATGTTTAAAAAAAAAAAGATTTTAAGTTTTAAAAATAATACATCTCGTAGTACATTATTTTGACCGTCTATTTTTAAGACTTTCATATATTTATAGATCTATTTTATTTTAATTATTTTTTAATTTAAAATTTTATAATTAAATATAAAAATAAATTTTTAAATAATTTTTAAAAAAAATTACACCAAAATCACATATTATGATAAAATTTAAAGGTACACTCTGATTTGATTGCTTAAAGTTACAAACCAGACCCTTTAATGTGAATGCAGTGAATTTTCTATTGAATTGCTGCAGTATTTGAGTTTGCTCGAGCTATTTATAGAGATTCATTTCTCTTTCTCTCTCCTATTTCAGTTTGGTTGAGTTATTAAAAGAGATCAACTTCTCTCTCCTAAGTGAGTTGCTAGAGTTATTAAAAGATATTAATTACTCTCTCCTAATTGACTTTGCTTGATTCATCATTAAAAGAAATTAATCTCTGTCTCTCTCTCATTTACAGGCATTCCCTTTAAAATAAAAGCCCCCCAATTCTCTTTTACCTTGGTTTTTAACTGTTATCCACCTCTCTCATGGCAGCGTGAGATTTTCTTCTCTGGAGGCTCTCTCTCTCTCTAACTCGGTTTGTTTTCGAGTTGCTCCAGTGTTCCTTGTTTTCTCTTTCAAAAATGTCTAATCTTGCAAATAGGATTATCCTTGGGTCCGAGAAGGAATGAAATAAAGTCAACCTTTGGTGCAGTAATCAAAGCCCCAGGCTTTAGAATTTGTCTCTCTCTCTCTCTCTTTCCTCGAAATTTTATATCAATCAATCAGAGAGTTTTCACGATTACCAGGGCAAATGCCGGTGCCAACCTTTCTCGGTCTGCAATTCTCATCCTACACAACTCTATGAGAGAGAATAGCCCCCCTCTATTATCCGTTCTTCAAATTATTTTTTCAATATCTCTTTTCTTTTAAATAAAACTTATAAATATATAAGTAAGATGTTTTAACTTCTTTTTAATTTATTTCAAAAGCCCATTAATGAGTTGAAAACAACTACTAAGATACTAAATAGTTGAGTATTTTACATGAGAAATAAATCTATAGGACTTTTTTTCACTAGGACTTTTGACACGGATATATAGAAATGTCAAATCCCGTATCATTATTATTTATTTTATATATCTCTAAAATAAATCATTTAATGATAATCTGATATTTTGGTATTTATGTTTATCATTAATTCTTATCTGAAAAAAAATAAATCATTATCCCGAAAGCGTAAAAGACACTTCTTCTCCACAAAAATAACAATTTTACCCCTCAAATTCTTAGACCACGTACAATGACGGAAATACCCCTCGTCGTAGGGGCCCACAAGGCTTGGTTTTCGAATTTCATATCCGCCGAAATTCGGCGGGGGATTTGATTTGGTGCGTGCGCGCAAGCTTTGACCACATTGTCTACGACCAAACCGTCACGGCTAAATGTAGCACAAGTGTGCACATTTAGGCAGCATTTTGTACTCATTTCTTACCGATTCAAGTTAAAACGGAATTATTTCACCACTAACGTTGGTCACAATCACATGGAAATGTTGTTACCTCTAGGTAAAATTTTAGGATAAATTTTATTAAGATGTATCCAACGCATCCATTTTTAATATAAATTTTTCGAAATATACATAAGAAATCAACTATTTAATATTTGAGGTTGTATACTATGAGATCATTTACTTTTGGAAAAAATTTATATAAAGTTGTAACTTTAAAATGTAGAATTACATATGCAACTCAAAAATCTATCGGAAAAATATAGTTTTAATGTTAAAAAACCCTCTAATTGATCATCTCAATATTGAGATGTATGAATATGAAAAACAAAAAGATTTTGAGTCCCATAAATAGTGCATCTTGCAACACATTATCTAGACCGACTATTTTCAATATTTTCATATGTTTATAGGTCTACTTGATTTTAACCATTTTTTTAGTTTAAGATTTTATAATTAGAGATAAAATAGATTTATTATGATATATTTTGTACGTACGCCATAATTGGATTGTTTAATGTCGCAACCTTACATAAACTACACCTTTTACCTATTATACATAGAGATCTCAATTATGTATAACCATCCGATGTGAAATCTGATAGCTTGGATGTATCACAAAGTTTGGAAAATTTTCTTTTGAAGTTTGAACTTAGTCAAGGAATTAATGCAGCCATCTAATTTCTCATCCATTAGTCAAGACTAATTGTGACCACCTTATGTCAAAGATAAATGATCTCATTACATACTTTTTGCATAATATTTTACCTACATCTTTTGATACATTTTCAAAATATCCAACAAAGTGACGTGACCTAGTGAGGTGTATTTTGATAAATTTGCCGATATATTTTTATAAGTTTCAACTATTTCAGCCCATGGTTATATATGTTTTGATGGGATTTTGAAGTTAAACATCCGTAAGTGCAGAGGTAAGGTGCACCTGCAAATTTTATCATGGTATATAATTTTGATGTATAATGTTCGTAGGATTATCTCAAAATCTATTTTTATATCTAATTATAAA